TTTGTACCAAGGTGGATTTATATCACAAATTAAAGAAAAATAAATCAGAATTTTTTTTAAGTTAAAAAAATTCTAAATTTAAATCATGATTTAAATCAATATGTTTTTTTAACAAATCAGTGATTTTATCCACCCTGATTTGTCTATAATGAAATTAAGTTTTATGCACCCATAAATCATTAATAAGTGGTAGTTTGTGATTGCTGATGACATCATTGCTAGTGTACCACCAACTAAGATCATGGCCACTGGTCCCATCACCTCCTGGTAAATAGAAGGGGAAGATATGGAGGCAGTGACAGATTTTACTTTCTTGGGCTCCAGGATCACTGCAGATGGTGATAGCAGCCACGAAATTGAAAGACGCCTGCTTCTTGAGAGGAAAGCGATGAGAAACCTAGACAGGATCTTAAAAAGCAGAGACCTCACCTTGCCGAGAAAGGTCTGCATAGTCAAAGCTATGGTTTTTCTAATAGCTATGTATGGAAGTGAGACCTGGACCATAAAGAACACTGACAGCTGAAGAATTCATGCTTTTGAATTGTGGTGCTGGAGGAGACTCTTGAGAGTCCCCTGGACTGCAAGGAGAACCTGTCTATTCTAAAGGAAATCAACCCTGAGTGCTCACTGGAAGGACAGATCCTGAAGCTGAGGTGCCAATACTTTGGCTATTTCATGAGAAGAGAAGATTCTCTGGAAAAGACCCTGATGTTGGGAAAGTGTGAAGGCAAGAGGAGAAGGGGACGAGAGAGGATGAGATAGTTGGACAGTGTCATCGAAGCTACCAACATGAATTCGACCCAACTCTGAGAGGCAGTGTAAGACAGGAGGGCCTGGTGTGCTCTAGTCCATGGGGTCACGAAGAGTTGGACACGACTTAACGACTAAACAACAACAACAACATAGATGAGGAAGTCCTCATGTGGTCTTACAATTTAAGAAGGGAAAGCCAACCAGGCAAAACTTTTCATCTTGTACCTGCAAATCCAAGTAGCTGTGCCTGAAAAAAAAAACTTTCCTTTCTTTATAACTTTTAATAACATAGGAACCCTGTTCCATATACCAAGTTTGGTTTTTGAGGAGAGACTGTAGTCCTGGGTAATTTACAAAAATGTCATTGTTCATCTGTTAAAAAAACTGTTTTTTTTCTCTCTCTCTCATTTTTGGCATGGCTGTTCCTGGCATTAGTTAGAACACAATGTCCAAGACTTATATAAATACTAGGATATGCCTTTTGAAGTTCATATTCTCTGTACAAACATGTATTGTCTCAAAAACAAACTATTTTAAAAACCAGGTCACAGTCTGAACTGACTTATATTATTTTCATATCTCAGTAAAATCAATAGAACTGCTTAACTTTCATATGATATGTTAATTTAAGTTTTTGTTTGTAGGGAGGGTGAAGAGAACTGAGCAGCTGAATCAAAGATGCCACAAAATTCACAAGACTAAAACGAGAGTTGTGCTTCAAATGAGATCAGACCAGTCTGCTATAACATGGTTAACCAAGTACAGTGGGGTCTCGACTTACGAACTTAATCCGTATTGGAAGGCAGTTCTCAAGTCGAAAAGTTCTTAAGTGGAATCTGCATTTCCCATAGGAATGCATTGAAAACCATTTAATCCGTATCTGCTCTTTTCGTCCATAGAAACTAATGGGAAGCTGCTATTCCGCCTTCTGCCACTAGAGGGGGATAATTTTTTTCCTTTTTTCCTTTTAACCTAAGATGACTTAGCTTTTTAAAAAAGGGGAAAAAAGAGTTCGTAACTCGAATCTAAGTTCGTAAGTCGAGTCCATATATTCCTATGAGAGCGGTTCGTAAGTTGAAACGTTCGTATGTCGAGCCGTTCGTAAGTCGAGACCCCACTGTAGTCAAGATGTAAAAACTTCACATAAAAATAGGCTTCCAGTCAGTATTCTACACCAGCTTTTTCCAACCTCATCCCCTCTGTATATTTTGGACTACAACTTTCGGCATTTTGACTATTGGCCATGCTGGCTGGAACTAATGTGCAAAACTTCAGGAGGGCACCAGTTTCAAAAATTCACTCTAGAATCATTGTATCAGTTATGTTTACACACTGCACACCCTCTGTGCAAGACTGTACTTTACTTTACTTTAATTAGATTTATACCCCACCCCTCAAACTATCAAAGAATGTCTCTGTCTAGACAAATTGTACCCAAAACAGAGTATCTGACACACTATAAAACCATTCATGATAGTCCACAACTGATTGTCTAGGTATTGCTGAAATGTCCTTTCCTAGGTTAAAAAGAACAAATAAGTACCAAGATGAGATGATAGTATTTTTTCATGTAAATATTATGAAACAGAGGTTCATTTAGTTAAGAGCTCTTAACTAAATTTGGAAGCCTGGCTCTTCTTTCAGGCTACATATATTGCTTAAAGAGATGGGCATAATTTTAAAAAATGGCAATTCATCATGATTCATAATTCATCAAGGTCGACGAATCATAAATCACGAATGTATGATTTTTTCCCTTATGAATAGATTCATTTTGACTAAAAACCCTGTAAAATGCCTCCCAAGCACCTAGAGAAAGCACAATTGCAAAGAAGCTTCCCGCAACTCTCCTTTACTAGCCCTCCATGTTTGGTGAAGATTGGGTTTTGGATGTCTGAGTTATATTCCCACAAAGTGGGTCTCCCCAGGAAAGTACCCTTTAGTAGCTGTCTTGTAGCAGTGCTGGATTTTTCCCCAAACCAGCTACTAAAGTGCACTTTCCTGGCGAGATCGTTATACACCCAGTTTGTGGGTATATAACTTAGATGTCTGAAACCCAAACATCACCAAACTTACAGGGCTTTTAGAGGGGACTCAGGGGAAGCTTCTCTGCAGTTGTGGTGTCCCTAAGTGCCTGGGGAGCCCTTTGATAGCCTGAAAAATCAACAAATTAAAAAAATCACTAAAAATTCATTGATTCATATCTGTTGGGGCCGTCACTTCTGATGAATACAAATCAACATATTAGCAATTTTTTATGAATGTTGCAGTTTGTTTTTTTAATTCATGACCATCTCTAATTTCTTATGATACTCAGCATGGTGTAGTAGACATAATACTGTAATTTGGGCCTAGGTTTGAATCCCCACTCAAGCATGGAAGCTTACTGAGGGGTGTAGAACTGGTAAAACCAAGCCTTAAATATCTTACTTACCTTGAAGGCCCTATTAGGGTTGCTATAAGTTGGTTCCAAACTGAAGGCCCACAGCAATTTCAACAACATACTGCTTATAAGTTGTCACTGAAAAACATGTTTTTCAATGGTATAGGGATATTATATGAAGTCCCCGCAGTGAGGTAAATGTTTCATTTAATAAGCAAATCTCATCATCCTTTTTAAACAGCAGGTCACCCATGTGCATTTGAACCAAAGCGAATTTTAACCACCCTTTGTGGAGTAGTAGATAAAGTGTTAAGACTGAATTGGGACGGAATCTCCATTCTGCCACGGAAACCTGTGGAGGGGGCAACTGATGAAATCACTAATTAAATATTTCAGTATGCCTTGAAAGCCATGTTAGGGTTGTTATAAGTCAGATGCACCTTGACAGCACATAACACCCACATTGTAACTATAATTCATGACTTCTGTTGGGTGAATATGTTTAAACAATTAAAATCTGGATCATTACACTCCACCCAGTGTTTGACTGAATCTTAAGGCAAAATAATTTTGTCGTTTTCTTTAACCATTTTGCAGTCCTTCAATTTTGTTCCACCCTAGAGTTATTCTGTATTTATATTGTGACAACCTAGGTCTTTTATTTGCAAAAGCAACTTAAAATTATAAAGGTACAGCCATCTCTGAAAAATTTCACATATCTCACAGAAACTCCTCATATGTTCTAGCTCAGTAGTTTTCAAGCGTTTTTCACCTGTGCACCCTTGGCAGCGTATTTGTACAAATTGTACCCTTCATATTAGCAAAATGCTGAACTTTGAGGACTGACTGAGGTACCCACTTATATATACACTAGTAATGGGATGATAGCACTCAAATGTTTACGAAGCAGAGGAAAGTAAAAGTTGAGCCTTTGAGGGGTGCACTGCTGAGTGTGTGTACTGTCCTGGCATGTCCACAACACATTGTTTAGTGAGGTACTCCCCACCATTCACAAAATAACAAAGGAAGGGAATGGGGCTATTATCAAGAAAAGCCACTCAGCCACTCATTGTAACGTTCAATTAATTTCACAACTTCTGACTTCTTTCTTGTCTTACACTGTTGACGTATGTCTCCTTTTCTGCATTATTCATTCCCCCCCCCGCATACCTCTAAATGTCCTGGTTTATACCCCCAGGGGTATATGTACTCCAGGTTGGGAATCACTGTTCTAGCTGAACAGGAACCTCACACAGTTTTATCTTAGGTAAGATCAGGTGACAAATAATTTTCTCAGTAAGAACACTGATCCATAGACTTAGTGTTGCTTCCTAGATTAGGTTGCTGTGTTTCAGGTTTCAGTACAGAAAGAGACACCTCCTCATTTTCTAGCAGTAAATAGTTTCCCACTCTGTGACATCAGTAGAGTTGAGTCCAAGTGTTACTACTCTGTACTTGGAATTTGTAAACACTGCTGGGCACACAAGAACTGTTAAAAGAAGGGATCAGAGAAATATGCCCATTTTGGTCTATCCATTTACAGGAAGCAGGATTCCCTACCTTTACCACAGAAATAGTGTAGCCAAGCAGTGGAGGAGAAAAATTGACCAAAGGATTTTCTGTGTTGCAAAGTTACCCAAACCAATTCTTGCAAAAACTGAACCCTCAAAACCTGGCTATTAAAATTATAATTTTAATTTGCATGTGTGTAATTCATCTTCCCCTTCATGCATCCATCTCTTTCCCTTATACTACTTCTTGAACAATGTTGTTCTTACAGAACTGCTTGCAAGGCTGAAGTAGAAAATGGAGATGTTGCTGATACGCTGCCAATCTTATTCAAAGTCTCCTCCTTTTATTACAGTTATCCGAGCCAAAGTAGTGGCCAAGAAGCTTATGAAAGATGGACCATTTGGGACAATGCGATATACTGTCAAACAGATGAAGGTGTGTATATATCCACTCATATTTGACTGAGGCAGCAATCATTTCAGTAGAAATATAGTTTGAATCTTGATTCTCTGGCTTACCTTTTAAATTTAGTTAATCGTTTCCTATATCTATATTGAATAAAGTTTAAGCAATCAAAGGCAACTGCATATACAGTAAGGTAGCAGTAGGCCCTATTCCATGTAATAATGTGGCGGTACACCCATGGAAAAATTATGTGCTCCTCTGTGTGGACTGGTCTTAACTCCTCACTATAATCAGATTACAAACATTTGAGGTGTACTAATTATGTTAATTTGAGGAACAATTTCAATACCTCCTTTTATTTGTTAATCATTGGAAATAAAGTACACATAATGGTAACATTCAAAGGAGGAAAATCTTACTTTCTAATGTCAAATGCAGAACATCTCACTCTCTCTCTTATTATGTTGGTAGTGAAAAGATTTATCATCTAACAGTGGAATCATATAATTCTGGATTAAGGGAGTGGTTGTGTGTCCCTTCTCAAGGGATGCTGTGATTCTATTGAGAAATAATAACTAATGTGATGAAGCACATTAAAAAAAAGGTTGAAGGAAGCAGTGCAGATCCAGATTGGGACCATATCAGGAGAGCAATGAGCTTTAAGTCTTTGTCATATATATCCTAGTGCATTTTCACTGGAAAGAAAAACTTCCACTATCTTATTTATAGGTCACCTTTCTCCCTATAAAGGGACTCAAGGTGGCTCACTGTATTAAAAATAATAGAATTAAAAACATAGTACATTATACATTTAAAAAATTATAAAACTAATTAAATACACTGAATGGTTTAAAGCTATGTTAACTTAAATATGGCATTCAGGAACTCAGTCATGATTATTAAAAGCCTGCCTGAAAAGGTCGGTCTTCAGTTGTCAGTGGAAGAATCAATGGGAGGGAGGGGGCTGACCTCAGCTGCCAAGGGAGAGCATTCCATAACCTGGGAGTAGCCACAAAGAAGGCCCTCTCTTGTATCCCCATTAACCATGCCTGTGCTGGCAATGGGACTCATAGGAGGGCCTCCTTTGATGATCTTAAATGGAGAGAAGGCTCATATGGGAAGATAAGGTCATTCAGGTAGTCAGGACCCAAACTGTTTAGGGCTTTAGAGGTAATGACCAGCACTTTGAATTGGGCCCAGAAACAACTGCCAGTGCAGTTATTGTAGCAAGGGCATTTTGTGCTCCCAATAACTGGCCCCAATCAGTAGTCTCGCTGCTGCACTTTGAATCAGCTGAAGTTCCTGAACCCTCTTCCACCCCATATAGAGCCTGTTACAGTAGTCTAAGCAAGATATAACTAATGCATGTGACACTGTAGCCAAGTTAGACATCTCAAGGAACGGGTGCAGCTAGTGCATTAGTTTTAACTGTGAAAATGCACTAGTAAAAGGAGGAGAGAAATTAGAAAGTGGACAGAGTATAATGAGTGGGAGCCAGATTTTGACTGCTGTAGGGGGCCAAGGGTTAAAGCTTCCTCTTATGAATGCCATTTCACCTGTCCTGCAAGGTTTACCAGAAGCGCATGTCATTCCAGTAGGCACCAGCATTTTCTGAGTGAGGCTTGAGACATTCATTTATTTGAAAAGGAGGAAACACTCTTACAGGCAGACAGCAGACAGTCTTTGGTATACTTATTTTTCTTTCTAAGTCTCTCGGATGAACCAGCTTGTTAAGACACATGAGTGACAGACCCTTTGGGTTGGGTAAATCATGTATTCACTTCCCAGTCTCCAAATTTTAAAAATCGCTTATGTTTAAGAAAAGAGAAGTAAGAAGGAAGGCAAGTAAGTAAATGAAGCATTTTCTAATAATCCTATTCTAGAGTTACATAATGTTAGGGGCCCCAATTGCACAGAGTGTTCTATTCACATTTAAGATAAGTGTTATTAGGTTGAGTTGAGGGTATGGGGCAAGTGTGCACTGGGAGATGAGGGCAGGCCAACATGCACTGTCACAAGTTCCCATCTTGTGCAGACTTAATGCCTGAACAGCACTTGTATTGAGAAGTGTCCCATTGATGTTACTGCTTATTCTGTCTGACATAAAGTGGGACAATGACAAATCTGCATAAAGCTAATCATGTAGGAGCAACTAATCCATGGACATGTGAGCCTGATTAGATTTGACCCTGTTGATTCTGGCAAGAAAAAAAAAGGTGCGTGATCCCTTTGATAGGCTTCCTTCTGTGCCTTCTGACCAATGAATAGATTTCACTTAAACCTGTTGCCTGGACCTTCTATTGCCAGTTGACCTCTTGTTATGTAATGTTAAAATGTGCTGCAGTTTATTTTTCTTGGCTGCTACATCTCTGTCATATGATTGGTTAACAGCTTTAGAAGAAGTATGTGTGTGTGTCAGGAGAAGAGGAACAAATAGAGACTTTGGCAGTGATTATAGAAATCTGAAACATATTAGACAAAGTAATATTTTGGAAAAGCAGCCACTTGCCTGCCTGCAAATAACAGTAATTCTCTTTATAAGGCATCGGCTAAGTATAAAAGCTGTAAGGCAGTGAAGACTGTTTTGTAAGCCATCAAAAACCAGAGTCACTGCCAAAACCAGCCTCGACACACCTCCTTCCCTGGAGTGGAATTTCTGCTTAAGTCCCACTGTTGCTTGCTTTTCTTTAGTTGTGCAATTTTATTGGTTTTATTTCCTTTTTTTTAAAAAAAAAGAAACCCTCAAAATGTGTGTGGATATAGTGCTTATGGTAGAAGCTGACAATAGCTAGGGCTGGAAAGTTTGTGTTTACATGAGCAGAAGCAAGAAGCCTCTCCTCAGTTAGATTTCTGCATCATGTAGATTGTACTGGGTATAGCAGCCTCCTGCTCTTTCGATACAGCAATTTGTAGTTCCATGTTGAAAGCCGCAACAGAGGTGGTTAGGTTTAGAGTGCTTCCTTCAACCTGTACTGACTCTACAAATTTTATTCACTGCACCACACTTTCTAGTATAAGATTTCAAGGGGAAAATGCCCTTGTGTTCACTGCTGCCTAGTTGTTCTTTTCTGAGAAAAGCAACAATCTATAAGAAATTAATTGTGCTGAAATTATGTTGCACACCATTCCAAGCTGCATCTGAGAGGCTCCCATTAAGACAAATTGCAGGGTGTTGTGCATCTTTTAAAATGATCTAAAATGGTGAGAAGGTTGGGCCTCCAGATGTTCTTGGACTTCAACTCCCAGAAATCCTGGCCAGCAGAGGTGGTGGTGAGGGCTTCTGGGAGATGTAGTCCAAGAACATCTGGAGGCCCAAGGTTGGAGACCACTGTTTTAAATGATCTAAAATGGTGAGAAGATTTCTAGGACTTTTCAAATTTCCACAGGTTATCTTTGTTCAAACAAGGTAGTAAGATGTACTTCCTAAAATCCAAGTACAGTAGAAATACAAAATATTTATAAACATACTCTAACACCCTGTTTCCCCGAAAATAAGACCTAAACCTGAAAATAAACCCTAGTATGACTTTTCAGGATACTCATAATATGAGCCCTACCCCAAAAATAAACCCCAGTTAAGTGAAGCCCCTCAGGTCAGAAGACGTCCAACATGCTACAGTGGTGCCTTGACTTAGGAACTGAATCCATAATGGAATGGTGTTCGTAAGTCAAAACGTTTGTAAGTCAAAGTAGCATTTCCCATAGAAATGTACTGAAACCCAATTAATCCGTTCTGGCTGTTTTTTGTTTCTATGTCAAGGCATGGTTTGTAAATCAGAGCATTCGTTCCCATAGTAACTAATGCAAAACCGGTTAATCCATCCTCTACCACTAGGGGGAGAATATTTTTTTAACCTAAGATGACAAGTTTTAAAAAGGGCAGGAAAGGAGGGAGACACACAGAGAGAGAAGACAATGGGGAAGGGAGAGAGTTTGGAGTCTAAAACACATGCTAAGCCAACACATTTTAAACCCACACATTTTACACCAACACATTTTAAACCAAGCCAGCACAGACTCTTGCAAAAACCTTTTTGATTTGCAAGGGAAGCATGCAGGAACCATTGCAAAAGCATAGAAAACAAATGGAGCAGATCAGAAATGCAAAGAGAACGAAGCAAAAAAAGCAAGGGAAGCATGCATGAACCATTGCAAAAACAAACGGAGCAGATTAGAAATGCAAAGAGAACAAAAGAAAAAGCATGCGTGACACATCGAAAATGGAGGGAAAAACCCCCCAAAAGCAACCAAACCCCCCAAGACACATCGGCACAACGAAAATGGAGGAAAATCCCCCCCAAAGCAACCAAACCCCCCAAGACACATCGGAAATGGGGGGGGGGAGAGAACCAAAAACAAACAAACAAACAAATTCCTCAAGACCCACCAGAAATGGGAAAAATATTCCAAAAAGGAACCAACTTGCTCTTTTTGGTACTGTACAATTGCACTCATTTCACACGCTTGGAAGGTTATGCTCAATCTCCTACAAGATAGGCTTCAGCAGTATGTGGATCGAGGACTCCCAGAAGTACAAGCTGAATTTCGAAGGGGCAGAGGAACTAGAGACCAAATTGCTAACATGCGCTGGATTATGGAGAACACCAGAGAGTTCCAGAAAAACATCTACTTCTGCTTCATTGACTACGCAAACGCTTTGACTATGTGGACCACAACAAACTATGGCAAGTTCTTAAAGAAATTGGAGTGTCTGACCACCTTATCTGTCCCCTGAGAAATCTATATGTGGGACAGGAAAGAGGAGAATGCAAAAAATGGTCTGAAGCTCAATATAAAACTAAGATCATGGCCACTGGTCCCATCACCTCCTGGCAAATAGAAGGTGAAGATATGGAGGCAGTGACAGATTTTATTTTCTTGTGCTCCATGATCACTACAGATGGTGACAGCAACCATGAAATTAAATGATGTCTGCTTCTTGGGAGGAAAGCGATGGCAAACCTTGACAGCATCTTAAAAAGCAGAGATTTTACCTTGCTGACAAAGGTCCACATAGTCAAAGCTATGGTTTTTCCAGTAGCAATGTATGGAAGTGAGAGCTGGACCATAAAGAAGGCTGACTGCCAAAGAATTGATGCTTTTGAATTGTGGTGCTGGAGGAGGCTCTTGAGAGTCCCCTGGACTGTAAGGACAACAAACCTATCTATTCTAAAGGAAATCAACTCTGAGTGCTCACTGGAAGGACAGATCCTGAAGCTGAGGCTTCAATACTTTAGCCATCTCATGAATAGACTCTCTGGAAAAGACCCTGATGTTGGGAAAGTGTGAGGGCAAGAGGAGAAGGGGACGACAGAGGACGAGATGGTTGGACAGTGTCATTGAAGCTACCAACATGAATTTGACACAACTCCGGGAGGCAGCGGAAGACAGGAGGGCTTGGCATGCTTTGGTCCATGGGGTCACGAAGAGTCAGACATGACTTAAGGACTAAACAACAACAGGAGTGAAGCCCCCCTCCCCCACTGTGCAGCAATCAGAAGCAGATGACATGACTGTATTTGAATAAGCGTAGATTTTTGTACGTGGAAAAAAATATTCCCTGAAAATAAGCCCTAATGTGTTCTTTGGAGCAAAAATTAATATAAGACCCTGTCTTATTTTTGGGGAAACATGGTAGCAATCAACCATTATAAAGGTCCACTCTTAAAAAGCAGGGACTGTAGTCCTGTAAGGCACTCAGAAAGATGAACTCATGAAGTTCATGAGAAAAGGATTTACCAATATTTTGTACATTATTATTAGCAGATTGTTAAATACACACATATGCTTAACACTATACAGAACCCATCATCTGTCATATATCCTGGGGCCAAGGTCCCAGAAATATACTACAGTATAGTTTCATAACAGTAAAGGGTTATTACTAAGTAGTTTTGAAGATTGCAAGCCAAAATGCCTAGAAGGAATGTCAAATCAAGTCCTTTTCTGTTATGTGACATTTTATTAAAAATGCTTCTTTTTCCTCCTCCTCCCCTCTTCTTTTAAAGATGTACAGAGGCTTTGACAAGATGCCCCATGTTCAATATATCTACACGGAGGCCTCTGAAGGTCTTTGTGGGGTCAAGCTTGAAGTGAACAAGTACCAATATTTAATTACAGGTAAATAAAGAATTCTGTCATGGTTTGTTTGCAGGCTGTATTTGTTCTAAGATCATTTATTTTAGATTTACTTCAGTGCTAATGGATGTGACTTACCAATATTAGTCCTTTGCATCCAGCACTTGTTCCATTAATTCTCTGCAGAGAAGTTACTTCTGAGATGGGGGAAATCATTGGTGAACAATTGCCCTTAATCCTAGCTTCAAGTTAAGTCAAGGTGGACCATGATTAGTAGCCAAAATGATGGGAATTGTGGGTTCACAACATCTGGATGGCCACAGTTTTTTCTATCTCTTACATAAAATAGCATGTATTTATCTGTACTCTTAAGATAATATGTAGAGTCCTCTTCTCTGAGAACTCCCTTTATCTAGTGGCCAAAAGGAGGCCTTTGTCACAGTGGCCTCCATTTGTAGAATGTTCTCAAGGAGACCCACCTGATGACTCTCTAACAGTTTATTTGGTGCTTAAAATACTAAGATATTTTTAATCTCACATTTTCTAAAATATTGTAACACCATTTTGTTATCATTCTCTGTTGATGATAATTGTTGATTGCTTTGTTGTGGTTTTTACTCATTTTATGTGATTACATGATTCTTTTGATTTATTAAAGTTTTTACTTGGAAGCTAAGCTTTGAGGTTTTTTGAGCCAATTCAGTCTGTTTGGTCTGGAATTGGTCATCTTTTTTTATGATGCTCCAAGAAAGAAGAAAGGTTTTCATGATTATTGGTGTTTGTTTTATTTTTCACTAGATTTGTATCTTATCATTATTGATTATGTTTTTATGGTTTAATTTTTTTAGAGTATATTAAGTAATTAACCAATATAATAAAGATATAAAACCAATATAATAAAGAGTGCATGCTATAAGTATATTCTTGTTTATGCTGACCCCTTCCAGGTATGGAATACTCAAAAGTGGTTTACTGTTACCTTCTTCTGGGGGCAATATGGGGTTGTTTAGCTTATCTAAGGCTACACAGGCTGTTTGTTCTCCTGGGAGGGACACAGCAGAACTAAATGTTATGGTTATGAGAGTTTTCCCAGTAAATTGTAAGAGACATTTTCAGTGTTTGTGTATATAAAAATCAGATTTTCATGTTTGCAGTTCAAGTGTCTCCTAACAGTTCCATTTGTGAACAACAAAAGAGGGAAGAGATATATACTTATCTGTGCGTCTATTTATTTATTTGATTTATACACACACATGTATATAGCTCTTCTATTTTCTGTTGTTTATAAATGGAACTGTAAGGAGACACTTGAACTGGAAACATGCCATTCTGATTTTCTGCCATAATCTAAGATCAGGAGGAACTCCTTTTTGCCTCTCAGTAGTTGTTTCAGTGCTAATTCAGTAGGTGTTGAAAAGGCGAGGCCAGAAACCTATTGGAATCTTATTCCTGGGTACGTGAAATTATGTATGCCACAGCAGTGCATTGCAGCTAGTTAACAAGATGTGAATTGCATGCCTAGTCATCTAGCTGGCATAGTGGCCGGGCAAGTGACCAGCATCTTGTTAATTATTTGGAACTTAATGATGCAGTTTATATAATTGCATTTATTCTGAGGGAGAACCCCAGGAGGATTCTGGCCAGTATCTACATTTTTAAAAGGAAGAATAGAATAGTGATACAAAATTCCTTCACCATACCTTTCTTTATTAGACAGTTAACTATGAGGAGTTTTTACAACTGGCAACAAATTCAGAGTTGGCACTGACATTGAAGATAATACCAAATTTGTGACTATAACAGCTGAACCACACTGTAACAGCAAATGTGCATGCTTCTTTTCTAGGCCGGGTTTACGATGGAAAGGTTTATACTGGACTGTGTAATCTGAATGAGAAGTGGGACCGACTGACCCTCTCCCAGCGCAAAGGACTGAATCATCGTTATCACCTAGGTTGCAGCTGCAAGGTGGGTATCATTCATAGGACTCCTATCAACAACTTCCTATATTAGGGCTACACTGGCAAGGGCGGTTGAGAAGGACAGCAAATAAAAATCTTTTAAGAGTGCTACTCCACGGGAAAGGGTAGAGGGGAATGAAGCAGTGCACAAGCCCAGGAGTTTATGCATATTACACACTTTACCTGTTAGATTTAGAAGTGCCAGTAAAGTATAGGACAAGTGAGAGTATATGATTTTTAGACCATTGTAATTCAAAAAATGCTAAAAATATGCTTGTTTCAGGGCAGACAGAGCTTATCTTCAGACATCAGGTTGAAATATCCTTCTGCTCATAAGTAGTCTGATAGTTCCTTGCCAGAACAGCTGCTTCTTGCTGCTTCTCAGAAAGGATAAAAGTTGGTTCAGAATTTCTTAATTGTAAGAGAGTTTTACAGCATCTAATTCTTCAAAAATATTTCATGCCAAGCTTCTTATTTGTTTTCTCTTTGTAACTACAGATTAAGCCCTGCTACTACCTTCCGTGCTTTGTCACCTCCAAGAATGAGTGTCTGTGGACAGACATGCTCTCCAGCTTTGGCCAGCCAGGGTACCAGTCAAAGCACTATGCCTGCATCAAACAAAAGGAGGGTTACTGCAGCTGGTACAGAGGATGGGCACCTCCTGATAAAACCATCATTAATGCCACAGACCCCTGAATACCCAGTCCTCTCTATTCCTTCTTCTTTCCCTTCCATGTGGCTGAGCATTCTTGGACACTAACTCATATCAGATCACGATGGCAACAATGATATTAGTGCCTGTTTCTTGCAAATTTTAGCACTTCAAACATTTGTGTTGTTATTGTTTTAAATCTATGCTGTCTTAACTGATTTTTTTGTTTGGTTTGGTTATAAATCTTTTTTTTTTAAATATTGCTCTCACCCATTTTGGTCAGAAAATGTTTGTCTGGGAACTTCAGTTTGCACACCAGATAAATAATGGAGCCTTTGCTCTAAGTTATATTTCACTATATATATAGCAATATAATCTATATTTTTGTAGGAAAACAAAAATCTCAAAAATTTCCCAGCTGAATATTGTATCATAATTCCACCTCACCCTTCCTCCTTGCTCCATAAGCTGTTTCTTTTCTCAGTGTATTTGGTCCTCAAAACATGTAGATAAAACTTTCAAAATACAATGATGCGGATTAGAAATGTGAGCAAAAATAAGCCTCACAGTAGATGGCTGGACAAGAAAATTGTGATATATGTACTGGATGGGACATTTGAGAGGGAATTTAGCTGTGTGCATTAAAAACACCACATCAAAATGGCTGTCATGTTCCAAGTGTGAATGTTGAACCTCTATCTCAGTTTTGCACTGAGCACAAATAGCAGCATTTAAAAATCAGCACCAATTAGTTGCAGGTAAAATTTATTCCGACTGCAAAAACAAAGCAAAACTGTTTGGTACCAAACCAACTCCAGACATTTTAGTGGTTTTAACCTGTCTGAAAGCTGCCTTTTCAACATTTGTGAACAAAACAACACCTCAAATAGTATTGACACAGAATAAAGTCACACAAAGTTAGTGAGGAACAAGGAGAAGAGTGGAAGAGACATAGAAAAACCTTAATAAAAAGGCTATTGGTATAAGAAACCAGCTGCAAAAACACTGTTCTGCTGAACAAAAAATGTATATAGATGTACTGACATAAGCTATTTTTGACAGGACATGGAATTGTTTCATGCTATAAGCAATGAAAAATATGATTCTTGTGTTTCAAAGTAGCAATCTTCACATTCCAGGTCACTGATTACTATTTTATTTTTGTGTAATTCTAAAGATGTTAAGACTCCAGTGGTTTCTACAGTAGAGATAATAATCTGTGTTTATTCCCCTCTGTGTGTGCTTTCCTCTCTCCATTCACCACAATATGGGCCAATTCAAATAATTGTTCAATGAATTATTATCACTTATTCCCACCTTTTGGCATTTACATGATAAACAATCTTGTGAAAGTGTTCTTAGTGTGGTAAAACTTCAGGTTAAAACTGTGCTCACGACCTGGGGTTCAAATCCCAGGTAGCCGGCTCAAGGTTGACTCAGCCTTCTATCCTTCTGAGGTCGGTAAAATTGAGTACCCAGCTCGCTGGGGGGGGGGCAATGTGTAGCCTGCATAATTAAATTGTAAACCGCCCAGAGAGGGCTTGAAGCGCTATGGGGCGGTATATAAGCAGCACGCTTTTAATCAAACACTGAAAAATATTTTGGTGTTACCACATTTCAGTGCTAATCGCTGACATTCATTACATGGGAACCTTTTCACAATGCTACATTATCCTGTGAATTCTGAGAGGTGGGAGAATCACTCTTTGGCCAAGCCTTTGTCATATCTGGTCTTATACATTGTGAAAGCTGAAACATTTGGCAGGTAAAAGAAGATGGGCGGAGAATACCAAAAATCCTACTGCCTCTGCCCTTTGAAGGGTTTTATAAATCTCTAGGTTTGAACTATCCAAAATGATATTTTGGAGAAAGACTGGATGTGACTAAAAACTATGGATATCACTACACATTCTGGTAATAAGGATGCACATGATGGTTATCCTAGTTTCACTGTGGACTCGATGCTTTGTTTGGCTTTATTATGGGAAAGTATAATATAAAAAATATAAAAATCTTGTGATAAAATAAAAAATATTTTACATTTTAATGTTGTCAATGAGCAGGGTTACTGATGGGATGGGAAACTGTATTTTACTGATGACGTGGGAGTGGAGTGAAAAACTGATAGTTAACACAAGCTTTGTTCTTTTTTTTATTGTGGTTATTTGTCTTACAGTGCTATCTATCTTCAGTTCATTCCACATAGGAAACAGACCTGTCATAAGCTGGGCATTGCCCCTATGATAGCTGCCTCCTCCATTGAAATGAATGAATAACTCCTTCCTGGCAAGTGGGACTTCAGTGTTGCAGTGGGGCTACCATACCTATAAGTGTTTACTGAGTTGTGACTTGCAGTCCTAGGGTAGGCATAGTGGAATTTTCCCTAAATACAGAAATTTAGCACATTCTGGAGAAAGCTGAACTAGAACCCTTCTTGGCTGACATGTAGTTTTAATGCAGGAAGTTATTTAAATACCAACAGAGCATTCAGTCATGCAAAACCTAGCCTGTAGCTGAATTTATTCCCTGCCTATTATCTAGCTGTGTCCTATTTTATCACATGATCTGCTGTTCAAGTAGATTCACCTTGATCCCTGAATCCCATCCTGCACTGGGACAATAAGATACAGCAGGCAAAATCCTGTTTTATTATATATACACCTGTGGAAGGGTGATGCTGTCATGAGCAGAAGGAGATCTTCAGTAATCAAAGATTTCCTGTCCTGGGACTCTTTCTCTGTGCAATCATTTTCACCATGTCCAAAACGTGGGAACCATGGGAAGGAAGAAGAGAGTCTTTATATAGAGAAATTATCCCTCACCAGCAATGTAATGTGATAGCAGTTTTTTAAAATAATTTAAAAACTACTATTTCCATTCTTTTATGCCTTGCAGACAGTGGAAGTCCAAATAATCGCAGGACAGAATAAGCAAATATTTAATAACCAAAAATGTCCTCCTGTTGGTGACATCTTCCTCCTCCACATGTGGAACATGCCTAACAGGATTTTGGCCACTCAGAGGTCATTCTTGCATTAAAATTTGATAGTGGAACTTTGCTGTCATTGACCTGTTATACAGCGCAAGAAGAAATAGAATGTGTTTTATCAGATGTGCTTGGCTTTTAAAGTTGCATGGATTCAATGTGCCTGACTTTATACAGATTCAAAACTTCAACCATATGATACTTACTTTAGGACTATTGTGAAGAAAGTACTAGCACCTTCACAGAGTAATCCTGTGGAGGCTTTCTTAGGAACAGGGTATTACTCCTGCATAGACTACAAGCTGCCCCTGGGCATTAGTAAGTGAAAGGGTTTTGAATATTTTTAAAGTATTTGAAGGGCTAAAACTGCAATCCTTATTGTTAGTCCTAATTCAGCCAAAATCTATGGGACTATTATCCCAAGAGCATATACCTTTTTCTGCAGTCCCTTTTTGGACTGCTTCTCCATCCTTTTGAGATAACTGGTAGTCATAAGAGGTGCTGATGAAAGGGTTCTTTGGAAAAGTCAGCCTGTCCAATATTACAAGAACCATTGCTTTGTGATATGAATGTGTATCAATGCTTTCCCAAACCTTTCAAAATTTCTGTACAATTATGCCACACCATAGTAGGTTTAAGGTCAGGAGTTGTATGGGTCACATCTCATTAACGCTCAACTGACATGTTCTGCAGAGAGATTTATAATCTTGGAAGTTGCTAACATCATGGAAAGTCAGACTGTAGAATCCTCTGTACCACATTAACGTTTCGTAAAAAAAAAAGGCTGTTACAAAGTCATACGTTGCAGCAGAACTCAAGTAAAGTGGTGTGGGGATGAGGGGGAAGAACAGCATTTTAGTGTCTCCCAGGTGGTGTTTGTTAAGATGTAGCTTCTCAACTTGCTACAGATAAGCCTAGCCTCAGTTCAGATTTTGGAAAGTGTGAAGAGGAGGTGTGTTAAGATACTGAGCTGTAATTCAGTGGCAGCTTTAAAAACAATCTTCACTATGATCAAAGCTGATTCATCCTATTACTGCAGTAAAAACATCATGGAAGCCTCTTCTAACTGCTAAGAAGGCATGTGTCTTCACATGGATTATAACATATCTGTATGCTTTGTAGGAAATAATAAAAATAGGCCACCAAGCCACAAAGCTATTTCTGTACCTGAATTTTCGTTTTACACTGCAGAAAGAAAGAGTGATTTGAGGTTATGCCCCACAGTTAAGGAGGCAAAGGCTATGGGTAACAGCCTTTTACCCCGCTGATAGTGAAGCTCTCCTAGACAGTTGTTTCGATTTTTGTTTTTGTTTTTTCATGGACAATAGCATGGAGGCAGAAGAGACCAGCAAAAGAATTACACTTGTTTTGGGAAGCCTCCAGATTCTTCAGTGCTACTAATAATTTTATATCTCTTCAGCACTTTCTTTCATTCCCTCCTTTAATAAACCCTGCCATCAGTGCCATTTGACAGGTTGCTATAATCAGAGTGAAAGACAAGCCATCCTGAGTACAGCTCTCTAGCCACTGCATTGGCTCTGAGCCTCACAGCTGAGAACTTAGATTTCACTTGGTATATGGGCCTGAGGTATATCTGTTGAAATCAACTGGTGCCTTTCTCCTATTGAATCCATAGATATTGATATCTAGGTCTGTGCAAACTCAATTTAAAACTTACATTCATTTCCAAGGAAGCTTGACCTGTGCCTCTTTGTTCAGAAGATTAGGCTTATCAAGTTTGATGGAATTTTTTTCTCAGGAAATGTCCAAAAGAATACAGCCTTAAGATGTGGTCCTGTGTATACATATTTGGGAAAAAAGCCCCAGTGAACTGCGGGAATTCCTTTTGAACAAAAAGGCATAAAAATGGATTGTAAATTTGCATTCTCCTTCCTTCTGTGCTAACATCCCTAACAAATTATGAACGCTGCAGTGGAAGGAAACTCAATCTACAAGAAAAGTCCTCCTCAGAAGGAATGTACTTTTTGTGAAGTTTTGTAGCACTGTTTACAGTTTTCCTCCTTGTTTGTTATTTATAAATTTTATATTCATTGAATGTTTATTGTCTTCTAAGGTAATAATGTTTCACTTTTTATAGTGTTCTTTTATGCTAAAACAATAAAGTGTTTTATTTCTACCACAGACATTCATATTTGTTTGCCTTGATTTAGAGAAACATCTAACTCATTAACCGCTGGTCAAAAGCAGACTGCTGAAAGGGTTGGGTTTTTGAGGCAGGGGAGTGTTCTTTCTTACAACATAGTTTTATACTTAGGAAGTGTAATTGATAACTCTTAAGTAATTATGCATAGGATGATAGCTATGACAGGAGGCAGGAAGCAAAATGATGTGGAAATTTTAAATTAAGAAGCCTTTTTACATGGACAAAACCTAGTGGAGCCAGAGCAAATGGGAGACAGACCAACGCCAAAGTAATTCTGTTAGGTTCACATCCTGCTCCCCAATTACAGCAACACAATATAAGCAGGGGTTCAACTACGGCAAATAGTAGGGTGAGGGGTAAATAAAGATATATGGGTATACTAGTGGTGGAGACAGCTTTGGACAATGGAAATCACAGCCATTTACATATGTCAGTGGGTGGACAACTTTCCTGTCCTGGCTTGTTCCTAAACAAGTATCTTCAGCTTGAAGCAAAATATTTGAAATCCTTTGTATTTTTGCCCTCTTTTTCTTAAATACATACAGAAAATATAAACTTGAAATGGAGAAGTCAGCTTTCTCTCATCATGTATGTTCTCCTTTTTAATAATTATAAAGCAAACAAATTGCTTTGCTTTTCTTGATCAGGGGAGACAATGTTCATGTTGGGAGATCAGTCACAAGATATATATGCCATTAGCTGAAGCTATTACTGTTCTAATACATATTCTGTTTAGTGGTTATAAGGTTTTTAAAGAATCACACCTGGATTGATGAAAGAGTTCAGTACAGTAGGGTAACAAACATAAAATGAATTGTAGTTACATGACAGGCAGACAAATCTTTCTGGATTGTGGGCTAGTGTTTTTGGCTTTGACTGGCAACGGTTTACCATAGTCTTGCCACTTACAAATGCTATGACACAATACTGACTAACTACATGCAAAGAATGTGCTCTGCCACTGAACTAGAGCCCCCTTACCCTGTTGGAAGTGGTAAATGTGAGCAAGCATATAAATAAATGGATGCAAGGGAAAAATTATGCAGATATGCCATTGTAATATTTGTTGAATTAAAGCTTTGAATCAAGTAAAACAATCCCTTTATTCTTATTTTATTTAATCCTTATTAAGGATGTTCATGAAATTAATTTCTAACGAAATCCCCCCCTTAGATCTGCAGATCTGAATATTGATATTGTTAGTGTATCTGTTATATCTTTGGATATGGATTACTGGGATTTATGGTGGAAATATGATGAATAGATCCAAATGAAGAAGGAAGATAATTATGACATTAAGTTTTGAGGAAAGTAAAAATAAACTATTTAAAGGAAGAAAAACCCTGGATCATTTTTTCTTTTTAAAAAACCTGCATTTTACTCCATGTTTCTTTGCATCAATACAAAAACTTTTTTTCCTTTCAGAGAAGCAAAATCTGTTCTCTCCCCCCCCCCTTGTGTTTTATTTCTTTTACTATGTGCTTGAGCAATTAGTGCTTTCATAGAATGAAAGAAAGAAAAAGCAAGGGGAGAAATGTAGGGAGCAAAATAGTAATCGTGCAAGAACAAATTCCATTATCAACAACCCAAAACTCCTTTTTTTTTTCTTGCTGGAACGTAACCATAGCAGAGACCAGTGCAGAGCAGAACTGTAGAATAATAAAATAGTGGAACTGGGGCAATCCACTCTTCCCTAACAATAGCAGAAGCAGCCACAAACAAGGCTTAAAACTGCAGAGAGGGAAAGCTGATGGTATTACCTATCAAAAGACATTGCAACTTTTTTCTCTCTCTCTTTAACAGTACTTCATTCCCTGTACTAAAAGAGAAAAGGCAGTGGGGAACCACTACATGGCTGTAAATAGAAAACAGCAACGTCTGAACCTTTGGAATACTGTGCATGAGACAAGCTGATTACACAACAAAAGCCTTATAGAGTCATTCTGGGAGAGAAAGGAAATATTTTGCACAAACTTCATTATTCTCGATTCTTCCCTTGCAACGAAATCCCTTTTGCGATATCCTCACTTCAAATAAATTTCATTGACTGCTGATGCTCTAATCTTGGTTGCTTATTATTCTGCAACTACTTCACTGTATGCTTACAGAATATCACGATGAATCATGATGGTCCGAAGAATGATACTCATAGTCACTAAAACTAGCAGATAAATGGGAAAAGCAATAGAAAAGGAGATATGATTTTGCTTCCCTGTCAGTATGTTTATTGAATATACCAACCTACACCTATAGGAAATAAAGGGGGGAGAGCCTTGCTCTCACAAAGAGTTCACCATGTATTCCAAATTACAAACTTAATGCTAACAGAAACTTTGATTCCTGTGAAAATAATTACAAGCGTTGTTGAAATTTTATGAAAATATGCCAGAGACTATTGGATCACTGCTACATCGAAGAAATGCCAGAAGCAACAAGTGGTCATAGGGATAGGATAAAGAGTATAAAGTACTGTATAAAGGTCGCTTTTTCACATTTTCCAAAAATCTTTCCCTGAATAATCCCAATGTAGATTTATAATAGACAGTACTGGCATGATAGGTATGTCCTCCTATACCCTACTAATTCATCAAACAGTCGCAAGATTTTCCATGGCAGCCCCAATGTCTGAATGCAAACCCACACATCTTTCCAGCTGCTGTACAACACTTTCCTCAGATAAGCAAGCTGTATTCCAATATGTATTGCAGTATTTGTACAAAAGGTGATTGTGCATTAAAAAAAAGCACCAGTGGCTTTCGTAAGGGAAATGAGGCAGTCTGCAGGATCACACTCTGCAGTCAAGATTCTGAGACACTCATCTTCCCATTGTGGTGCATTTTTTTTCTCAATGCAGACAGTCGGCGCTCCTAAATGTTATATTTTATATACACTGAGTGCACAGCACACATACAAATGTAGGCAAAACACTCCAAGGAAGTCTGGTGAACACTAGCAGCTACTATGAGCTGCACATGCAAGGTGCAAGTGATATATTTCAAGGCCTGTTATATTTTGCTACTGGAGGCAGAGCAACAAAATACCCTACCAGCCAAGGAACATGATATCCAAGGCCAACCCAATTATTCTGGCACCAGAAAATCCCAATCATCTCTCCTTAGCAGCAAAAGAACAACAATGACTGATGAATAATTAATAATTTGTTGCCTTATGGTGATACCATAATCTATGTGTGACAGCCACCAACACTCTGATCTGTCTGGGTTGGGTCTGTTGACTAGAATGATCAGGAGAGTTGCAAAAACACATAAGGATGAGCATCTCTCTCTGCAGATGCATAGTGTCACACTCATGTTTTGAGCCGTGGCCTATGGTGGTTCATCTCTTGAGGAGGAGGGAGATGCACGGTCTCTGCCCCATTCTTGCAGCCACACCTTGCCCACTGCATCCCTGATCATGCCATCCAGTATCTGCCCACCTCACCCCTTTCAATACATTTTGTCATGAAGCAAAATAAACATGTGCTACTTACCATCTGCCACCTCACCCCTTTCAATACATTTTGTCATAAAGCAAAATGTGCTACTTACCATCTGTTTATGACTTGGGAAGAAAGTTTGCTCTACAAGAGGGAACTTCTCAGGACCCAGGGAGTTGAAGATCTTAATTAGCTGAGAGAACTGCAAAGAAAAGACAAGGGTCTATACAACTTTCCAAATAAGAAAAAAAGTTTAATCATTTCCATTCTACCTGGTATTGCCAGCACTGAACCCAAAGCATGTAACCAAGAATAGAAGCTAGGGCAGGACTACAATGACTACTCAGTAGGTTTTGAGGAGAAAGATAACGTAAGTGAAACTTAGGTTAAAACTGCAATGCACAAAGGCAAGCCTTTACCCCAAACACTGGCATCCCCAGGAGCAAGTTTAGCCCTTCACATGAGTGTTGTCTCCAATCATACCCTTCTATTTTCTTCTTACTGAGTGGACATTGTGGATAACAGCCATGAGAACAACTTGTGAAAAACGCTGTGGAATGACCAGAACCTTAGTTACTATTTTGGTACAATTTTAGACTACATTATTCTTTAGAAGCATCGATATCTTCTGACAAATCCAGTGATTCGATGCACTGTATGACAACTGCTATAAAAAAATTAAAGCAGGCCTAGCAAAGGCTGTCAGAGAAATCTTCTGTATAAAGGAAGATGCATGGGTGTACAAATGTCATCTGCCTCCTGAGGCTACACTCTGTGCATCTGAATACGTTGTAGTTTACAGGCCACAAAATAAAACTCGTTTGGTCTTAAAAGTGACACAAGACTCTTTTTAGTTTCTGCTACAATAGACTAATATAGCTACACCTCTGGAAGCGTTACAATATTTGGAATAAAGGTCTATGCACTCTAGGTGCCCTAGACAGAGGTGGCACAAGACTGCTTTGCTGATCATACACAGAGGCATTTGCTAGTACTTTGTGTTTTTTTTAATAAATATTTTAAATGCCTTTTCCTGGCTGGAACTGAGGATACATAGTCATGGTTCTGAACATCTTGGCAAATAAATCATTCCGCCTCTATGCAAAGCAATGTGAAGCAAAACAAAGCATGGAAAGTGTGTTGCTTATATACCACACTGTACTGCTTAAAGCACTCTCTGGATAGTTTACAATGTTTTAATTATGCAGGCTACACGTTGCTTCCCCGCAGTGAGCTGGGTACTCCATTTACCACCCTTGGAAGAATGGAAGGCTGAGAGATCCTTGAATCAGCTACCTGGGATTGAATCTAATCTGATCATGAGCAGAGTTTTGGCTGCAGAACTACAGTTTAACCACTGTGCCATGAGGCTCCTAGCGAGCCTTCTATGAACCTAGTAAGAGCAACACCTGGAATAGCAAGGTTTTATGTCCTTCAGATAAATTCAGTGCAATTACATTTCTAAATAAATGAAATTATTCTTTCAAAAGGAAAATTAAATATTTGAGAACATCCAGGAATGTGGCAGCATGTGGAATTGTAGAAAGCCACCGTCAGGCTCACTATGAGATCAGAAGATGAGAAAGACTAAACAGAACATCCTTCCATATTCCCAGGGATTATTGATAGCAACATAGACTGTTGATGTAGCATAACACAGACAGCTTGTTGCTCTTAACCGCTCTCGCTAACCCAGAACATCTGATGAGAAAAGGAAAATAACACTGTTTTGGCTAGTTCAATGAATAAACATAAGAAGTTAGTTGTGTGTGTGCTTGAAAGAGAATGTGGAGAGGAAAGAGACAAGTTGCAGGAGAAAGACATATTAGGCAGTATGCTGTTACATAATGCAGCAAAATGTGCTAAAAGACATCTAGTTCATAAAGGGAAACAGACATTTTCCTACTATGACACGTCTGCTTTTGTTTCAAATATTTATTACAGCCGAACTATGCATGATGCATAACCTGTGCTTCATTGTTGCTACTCGCTGTCAAGTTGATTCCTACTTACTGGTGACCCTATGAATTAGTGACCTACAAAAGTTCCCCCTAAACAGTTCCGCGTAGCTCTTGCTGTGTGTGGCTTTCTTTATTGAGTCAATCCACCTCTTTCTTTTTCTGCTTTTCCTGTTACCTCCAACCTTTCCTAGCATCATTGTGTCTCCCATTGAATCTTGTGTTCTCATGATGTGCCTTAATTACAATAGCCTCGGTTTTTCATGTTTGCTTCTCAGTAGAGTCTAGGCTTGATTTGATCCAGCACCCACTTATTTGTCTTTCTGGCAGTCCAAGATACTTGCAAAGCTCTCCTGCAACAACACATTTCAAATTAATAATTATTCCTCCGTTAATTTTCTTCACTGTTCAGCTCTCATTTCTATGCATAATAATTGAAAATACCATAGTATCAATGCTCTTCACTTTGGTCTCCAGTGAGACATGCTTACACTTGAAGATATTTTCTAATTCCTTCATAGTTGCCCTTCCAAGTCTTAATCTTATTCTGATTTCTTGGCTGAAGTTTCATTTGGATTTATAACTGAATACAAAATCATAAACAACTTTAATTTCTTCACTGTCTACATTAAAATTATATAAGGCTTCTGTAGACATGATTCTTGTCTTAATATTCAACTGCAGTCCTGCTCTTGCACCTTCTTCTTTTACCTTCATCAGGAACCATTCATTGCAAATCACTGCTGTTTTCTGCTAGTAATATACCATCATCAGTGTATCTTAATTTACTGATATGTCTTCCACTAATGTTTATTCTCCTTTATTTGATTCTAATTCAGCTTTCTGTATGATATACTTTGTATTCAGATTGAACAGACAGGAAATAAAATACATTCTTTGTCTGACATTTTTACACACATGAAACCATTCAGTTTCTCCGTATTCTGTTTTAAAAGTAGTTTCTTGTCCAAAAGATAGATTATGCATCAGGACAACTAAATGTTGAGGTGCATCCACTTTTTTTAGAACGATCTATAGCTTTTTATGATCCACACAGTCTAGGATTTTGTTTTAATCTATAAAGCACAGCCTGTTTTTTTCTAAACACCCTGCAATAGCCAATGTATATTTGCAATATGATCTCCAGTCCCTCTTCCTTTCTAAATCTAGTTTGATCATGGGTTTTTTAAATTGTTCCATATATGGTAAATGTTTTTGTTGCAAAACCTTGAGCAGTGTTGTTCTTGCTTGGGAAATCCAAACAACAGTAGTATAATTATTGCACTTATTGGTGTCACCTTTCCTAGGGATTGGAATATAATCTTAGAACTGCAGAGCTGGAAGGGACCCTATGGATCATCAAGTCCTGCCCTTCTCAGGGAGGCACAGTGGGGAATCTAACTCCCAACTTTGGCTCCACAGCCAGATACCTAACCCACTGAGCTATGTAGCATGTATATTGAACACTTCCAGACTGTAGGCCATTGCTGGGTTTTCAGTATTTGTTGGCATATTCTTGTTACGATTTTGATAGAGTCAATTTCTGTAGCTTGGAATGGTATCTCATCCATTCTTGCTGATGTATACATTTGACTTGCTTTGAGAGCAACTTTCACTTCATTTTCCATAAAGCACAAAAGTTCTTCGCCAAAGAAGAATTCATCATCCTTGCATTTCTTCTGTATAGTTCTTCCATATATTGTTTTCATAGTTTTAAAATCTTTATTCTGGCGAAATATGCCCCATTGCTCTTTCAACATTGCTAATCTAGGTTTAAATTTCTCTTGGATTTCTTGGAATTTCTTAACTGAGCAGTAGTATTTGGTCAGTAGCCCTGCTGCTCTGCCTATCTATGGCCATAACGATCTATGGCCATAGATAGTTATGAAATCAAGGTATACAACACAAAACTTGCGAACATGATCATGTAGCCTTCTTTCACCCTGCGTGTAATACTAACATCTGCACATAATATTGTAATTTTGTTATTGTGGGAGGCATTAAAAATCATCATACTGTAAACATTATGTTTTTTTAAATTTTATATGCTGCATATTTTCAGCAAAATAATGACAGATTCCTCATGTAAAGTCTTTGCTGTGAAGGCAAATTATCTGCAAGAGAGTAATATTAATTCTTAGTGTTTTGCTGTCTTACTTTTTAAATAGTTTACATTTTATAAAGGTTTGTATTTAATGCATTGTAGCTGAAATCATGTGCAGCTCCATGTTTGTAACAGTGATGATGTCACTGATTAAAGGCAATTTTGGGTTGCACACAACTTTTACACAATGGGATGAAGTCAGGTGCACCTTGAAATCGCAAAAGGAAGCTCTTAATCAGTGACAATTTGCCACTGCTGGTAGCATATGGAACTACAGTACACAACAGGATTTCAGCCTATTATGAAGTACATATTCAACAATGTACTGAAAAACAGATTTCTTTTTTCAAATCTCTACTTCACATCCTACATACAGTATATGCAGGTTAATATTAATTTCAAAAGTTTTGCTGTCTTAATTCTAAAGTCAGCTACAGTTAAAAAAAAACCCTGGTCAGGAATTATCTCAGCAGTTTGAGTTATGACTGAAATGTATATTTGATTTGCATCCAATCAAATAATCTGAATACTATTGCCAGTATCAATATGACCTCTTTAAGACTGTGGAGCAATAATAGGAAAAACAGAAGTCCTGCCAGCATAATCCTGCAAACTTAGTAGGACCACAATTTGCATAGCTCAACACTGAGTCAAATTATGATGAAATACTACAAATATTATCTTTCATTTGACAAGTGAATCAAATATATTTTTTTCTGCTCCAATTTGCTGTAAACCTTAATAGTAAACCCTTTCCAGGGTATTCCAGGAAGACAATACTCAGAAGTAGTTTACCACTCCCTTCTTCTGGAGGTGCCTTGGGATTGTGCAAGACCACACAGGCTGGATATACTCATAGGAGGCACAGTAGGGAATCAAACTCCCAACATCTGGCTCCACTACCAAATATCTAAAGACAGAACCAGCTAGATAGTCAGTGGTTTACATGTTTGAGTATTATCTACCTAGAAAACCTGGAAAGGATTGCCATAAGTCAGAATTGACTTGATGGCACATTATTATTATTTGGGTAGATAACCCTAAAACCAAAAATTTCAGAGACACATTCTTTCCTTTAGTCATGTATGCCTAAATCTTCAGGTGTCAAAGTATTTTTCCGTTTGATATTTTTCATTGGCTTCAAAATCAGTGTTTGGGAGAACTTTTCATGGAATCCCATTCTGTTCCCTAACAGGATTTATTTCATGACAACTGGAATTTATAACAAGGTCCTATAGATACATATTATCTGTGGGGCTCTGCATTATGCTAAGAAATTATCAAGTTCTGGTGACATCAGCATAGCATGAGTCATATGTGACTTCTGTCCTTGTCCCTGTGACAGTAAGCCGTGTATTACCCCACGGTTGTATAACCAGTTTAGGTCTGCATGTATTTGTAACATCTGAAGAAGACATTAATGATAGGGGCCTGGCCATTTGTCAGATTCTTATCTGTAAATGACAACACTATTTTTCAGGGCATTTTCCATGGAGGGTAATTCTAGGAAAGTTTTTTTGTGCTGTCTACTTTTCATTATGCTGGTTTCAAACGGAATCACAATTGTTATTTGCATCTCACAAATAAGTCAATTTAAGTGCTTTTACACCCCTCATATAATTTTGCCTATATGCTTCTCTGACCAGCCTTCTCCCATTGTCATCGTACCGCCCTTCCTCCTCTCTTTCCTCCTTCTGGAGGGATAGCAGTTGGCCAGGCTGAATTTTGCTTTTGTTTGTCCCTGCTGTGTTCCAGTGGTGCCCCCCCCAACTCTTTGAACAGTGATATTTCAAACAGCCTTTAAAACAGCTGCAATATGGGCAGATATTCAAATCCTTTTGGTAACCTTTCCTCTACCCTCATTAGTACACCTACTGTAGGAATTCTGGGAGAATTCTGGGTGGTGGCGGCGGCGGCTGCTGCTAATGCAAACATCAGCCAACAGATGCTAAAGAGCACAGGGAGAAAAAGCACTCTTCAAAGGTAGTAAATTGCACCGCAGCTCCCTCCCCAGTGTTAATTCTCCACTGCATTAAAAGGCAAAACTGGATCTGTTTGTGAAGTAATTATAACATTGTGTAAAAGCAGCTTGAAAAAAGAAAGCAAAAGTGCAAGGCAATCCCAGCACAGCAGACTCATATGAAACTGCTCAGAGGGTTATTCATCGAAAATAAAAAATATATTGTGTGACTTGTATATGTTGGGGCCAGTCATGTATTAAGATGAACATCAATAAAGCCCTAAGTTGCTTATGACAATATGGTCTGAATAGAGATCCTAAAGTTTCCTAAATAGTAGCACAGGGCAACTTCAAAATATTTCATCTGCTGTCCAGTAAAACATCTTTGGTGGGTTTTTCTACACGTTCTCCTTTTTAAAAAGAAATCTAAATACAAAAAAAAGTTTCCCTCCCTGCCAAATTTCTCAGACTGAATAGTAGACTTGCCTGAAACAGACCACAATAATTATACATATTTTTCATATGCCATTTCTCATTGTCCTTTCTCTGGAAGAGTTTTTAATGGCACGGGTATATCTGAAATAAAACAAGCTGTTATGTGTTTTTCTGTAAATATTCACCTATTGCCACTATGATGGCAGCTTCTGATAAGTGACAAGGCAGCCAGCTTTTTCTTAAATGGTGACAGCCCTGTTGACATTTCCCAGATTCAAAAAGGATCCCAAAAGAGGGGATTGGGAGAGGTGGGACAAAATGGCAGCTTCTCTGACCCTCTTCCCCACAAAAGATATTTCATTGCCGAAATATAGATCCTGAGATGGGTGAAACCACTGAAAAATCTGTCCTTGTTAATTCAGGGCAGTCCCACTGTCTAATGGAATATTCCATAACTGGAGGGGGAAAGCAGCTTTTTGTTTAGATATTTATCTCCGGGCCACAAAAAACAGGGTGAATTTGGAGCTTCCTGAGATGTGGAAATATACAAATATCTCTCCATTCTAATTTCGTATAAGGACACTAAAGGATATGACCTACCACCCACGGTTTGCTGCAGAAATTGTAGATGGAGAAAAGTGAATTGACACCGTGGACTCCACCATACTGTAGGCCAATGACAAGGCTTCGAAAGTCCTCTCCTAGTGCCATGCTGTAAGCATGCTGTCGGACAAGAACAAAGTCAGGCTTGAAGGATCTAGAAGATAAAATCAGAAGAGTATTTTAAACAGTCAATCCCCTTATGCTCTCCATTTACTGCTTTTTGCTGCCGACTTCTTCAGTCCTTCTGTACTTGGTGAGAATGTCTCATTTTAACTGTGGTACCAATTATTGCCATCATATTAAATGCAGCAGTAAACGAAATCCTTTATTGCCTGAAAGAAATAGATCTTACAAGACTCCGAACAGACTTCTCAAAAGTTCCATTACGGGGGTCACACAAAAAGTGGTCTGTAACAAGAACTAAAGATAATAAATTAGGGGCAGAAAAGTATATTCCCAGCAGTTTTCCTGCGGGAATTGAGAGTGGAGGAGGAATGCAGGGATACTTCTTCCAATGTGTTACACAGATGATAAATGAAAAAGACAGCTTCTGAACTTTCAGAACTGAATATCAATTTAAAGACTAGCCTATCACGGCATTTCTGAATGCAGACATTCATCCAGTAAACACATATGTTCACTTCTCAAAGATTTCTTTCTATAGAGTGCATCATAATGTAATCTTTGTGTGTCCTGTTATGCTCTCAGTGGTAGATAAGACATCTCTTTCTTGAGTTTCCTGTGTCTGAGTTAAGCAGTTCACTGCAAAACCAGAGTTTGGGTGTTTGAGTCCCTATTGTGCCTCCTGGGAGAAGACCAAGCTTATGTAACCTTAGGAAAGTTCAGAATTTTAGGGTAGCCCCAGAAGAAGGGAATGATAAGCCACTTCTGAGTACTTTCTACCTAAAATAGCCTGGAAAATACAGTGGTGCCTCGGTTAACGAGCGAACCGTATAATGACAAAATTGCATAGCGATCCGTTTTTTGGGATTGCTAATGCGATTGCTTACCGATGGCCCCAATGCGCGAAAATCACATTGCGAAGACCGGTAAGCGTTTCGCTTACCGAACTTCGCATTGCGACGCCCGACAATCAGCTGTTTGGCAGCTCTAAAATGGCCACCGCGCGACCCAAAATGGCCACCGCAACCATTTTCGCCCCCTGCCCTCGCTTACTGAGGGCGTGAAAATGGCGTCGCAATGAGGAAACATCACATAACAGTGAGTAAAGAAGCCATTGGAACGCATTAAACTAAGTTTGATGCATTCCAATGGCTTTTTCCATCCCGTTTAGCGATGTTTCGTCATAGCGAAGGTTAATCTGGAACGGATTAACCTCGCTATGCGGGGCACCACTGTATATCCTAACTTGGAATTGACTTGTCAGAACATAATTATTATTACAAGAGCAACACAAACACCTAAAAGGGTATCTATATTGGTTGCCTGTAACCTCTAGTAATCTCCTTCTTTATAAATGTATACAAACTTTAATCATCATCATCATCATCATCATCATCATCATCATCATCATCATCATCATCATCATCATCATCATCATCATCATCTTAGAACTGCAGAACTAGAAGGACCATATGGATCACTGAGTCCAGCTCCTGTCAAGGAGGCACAGTGGGGAATCGAACTCCCAACCTATTTAAACCACTGAGCTGTCCAGAAGTTAATCTAGACATATGTGTCTGGAACAGTTTGACAACTTCATACATTATGTTTCTTACTCAGACTGCCTTTCAGCTCAAGCTAAAGAAAGGAGTATTAATATTTGCTAGATTGGCCTCCTTTCTAATTGTTATGTGATGCAATTCCCATCCCCCCATAGTTTTTCACCACAAGAACCACCTTGCTGGATCAAACCAAAATTCCATGTAGGTGCAATCCTAACAGTCCAAAATGAACAAAACCAAAACTGGGCCAGCTGAAACAATTCTGACTCCACATTGGCTTACTCACTCAGCATCATAGAAGAATATGGAGATACTGTTGGGTACATTTTCTGTTCATATGTAGTGCTGCTGCCCAAGTCTCACTGTTACCCTGGGTAAATGAGATCCGGGAAATATAACCAACATTCTTCAGAAAAAGGGCCATAACTCAATAGTAGGGAACGACTGCTGAGTTCTGGTTCAATAAATGGCATCTCCTTGGAAGATTCAAAGACACTCCCATTTGAGATACTGCATAGCTGATCACAACGCTGAGCTAGAGGGACCAATGTTTCAGCCTGGTAAAAATCAGATTCCGGTGTACTAATATAAGAAAGTACACAGACACTGCATGTTTAAGACAAACAGATTTATTAGGGCATGAGTTGTTGTAGGCTACTAGCTGCCTAGAGTGGTCGTAAGACCAGATAGGCGGGATATAAATAAAATAAAATAAAATAAAATAAAATAAAATAAAATAATAAATAAATAAATAAATAAATAAATAAATACTACCTTGTCTGCAAATAAAATTGTTAAGTCTTAACAGTATCACGTTACTTTTTGCTCTCATAGTGACACAAATTAACATTGCTGCCTCTCTGGAAATTGGCATTACACTCCAGTGACCTATAACTGGCATTCTGGATCATGCAGAAAGCAGCCATGGAGAAAGTTGCTCTCCATGTGATGACAGCAACAGAAAAGAAAAGACTTTGTTCCTTGCACATTTTGACTCAAATGAGAACGATGAGAACACTGAATGCCTATGCAGGGCTGCAACAATTGTGTTACACAACAACCTGGAATTTAGGCTTATCTGGAACAGAGGCCAGCACACAAACCATCACATTTTTCTCAAACTAATCTCAGTTAGAAACTTGATACATGGCACGGTGGGAAAAAAAACCCACTCCTTCTCAGCTTCTCCATTTGCAACCCTGGAGTACCAATAACGTGACTGGCCTGCTTGACAAGGCTGCTGAATGGATTCCTGACACGATGTGCATAAATTTTGATACAGCAAATACAATATACATGCTAACAGCTCATTTTACAGGAACTTTAAAAAGCAAACTAGAACAGTCACTCTCATTTAATTAGTGGTATGACTTGTTGCTTTAAGACAGTCATAAACCTGGATGCTTTCACAGTAGTTGGACTTGCTTCAGGTGCTCTTACGAATCTGGATGATCTCCAAAATCCTGTACTATAGCTATAGTTCAGGAATATAATACAGAGTGACTTATTTCAAGTTTTTATGCCCCTGTACACACCACTTTTCCTGCCAACCTAGCCGTTCGAAAGCATGTAAAAATGCGAGTAGATAAATAGGTACCACCACAATGGGAAGGTAAACAGTGTTCCTTGTCTAGTTGCGCTGGCCACGTGACTACGGAAAACTGTCTACAGTCAAATGCTGGTTCTACGGCTTGGAAGCAGGGACGAGCACCGGCCCCCTAGAGCCAGACATGACTGGACTAAATGTCAAGGGGAACCTTACACACCACTTTAAATCACCACAAATGCAAAAGTCTGGGGCCTGCTCTTATGGAATGCTGGAATGCCTGCCATAATTCATAACAAGCTCTAGGTTTGAATAGCTCCATGTCAAGTGTTGGGAATGAATTATTTTCTCAGTAACCAAAGTGATGTGGGAAGAATAAATCATTAGGCAATATGATGTGATTGGCTGCATGTTACTGTAGTATCAATGGTCTCCTCCAGCAAAATTCTGAGGTACAAATCTAGCTCATAACTGATTTTAGCAATCTGAGAAGAGTAATAAGAATGTTCAGATATTATCTCTCATCCAGTAAGAAAGAACAGTCACCACCAGCTTAGAATAATCCTTTTGTGGCATTAGCTGGTTGTAAATGTTGGTGATGTAACATCATTGAAATTTATTCATAACGATTTTATCAAAGTGAGTGGGCTATTTGTTTATATAAATAGCTTGGATTGCATTTCTAACTGAAATCATTTGACACCTTGATTTAGGAGGAACTCAGGAATATCATTCTGAGACCAAAACAGAGGAATCATGACGATCTGCAATTAGAAGCTAGCTTTAACAGTAAAAGAAGTGCATTTGTCTTCTGAAGTCTATCGTGGTTTTGCAAGGTGCATATTCTTGGGAGAAAAAAACATCATTTTTCTCCTTTTGCATTTTTAGCTGAAGAGTCAAAATAATTAGCTGCCCTAATTATTCACCTCTGTTTTGAGGGAGGATTGAGGCTATTCCACAATGTACATTCCTTATACATTCACTAGCCACTCCTTATACGTTCACCAGCACCCTCTAAGGTATTTAGACTGAGAATTGGCAGCTGACTTAAGGTCACAATATGATCTCTTAGTCCTGCAAGTACAGTGGTGCCTCGCTTAACAGGCACCCCATTTAACGATGAAATTGCATAGTGATGAAGATTTTGTGATCGCAAAAGTGATCGCATTGCGATGTTTTAAATGGGGAAAAATGGCTTTGCGATGATCAGTACCCTGTTTCGCTTGCCGATCATCGCAAAGCGATGATTTTTAACAGCTGATCGGTGGTTCCAAAATGGCCACCAGATAAAAAAATGGCCGCCCGCTGTTTTCTGGGATGGATTCCTCGCTTACCGGGCAGCGAAAATGGCCGCCGTATGGAGGACTTTCCTTTAATGGTGAGTCTGAAGCCCATAGGAACGCATTGAAGGGGTTTCAATGCATTCCTATGGGCTTTTTTAAATCGCATAGTGACGAAATTGCTTTGCAGCGATTTTTGCTGCACCGATTATTGTCTCTATGGTAGGCACCACTGTATTGGAATTCATACTTAACCAGTCCAGACTCCAGATTTTGTACAGCTCTTTCTACTAGCACGAAGATGGCTTTCATTTGCTTCTTTAAAATACCATATTTCTCTGTGTTTAAGACTATACTTTTGTCTAAAATCTTTAGACTAAAAATTGAGGGTTGTCTTATACATGGAAGTAAGCTGAGGAGAGAACAAAAACAAGTGGAGGGGAAAGCAGGGATCAAAGCAATCCTGCAGCGCTTTGATCCCTTTCCCCCTACACTTGCTAAGTCCCACTTAGATTTCTTAATTTTGGAACAGAAAAGTGGGGGGAGTCTTATACAAGGGGGCATCTTATACACAGAAAAATACGGTACTTTAAAAACTTGTCGTATGTTCTGTTAAGCTGCTTCATTTTATGGAGATCACTTC